CACACATCATGGATTCTTTCGCAGGCATTCTATGGAAGCCCTGAGGATGGGCGGGTATTCAATCAACTAGCCATTTTATCGCAGTCCCGGCAACGGTATCCGTTAGAGAGTGTGTACTACTACTTTCGAGCGCTTTGCGCTACCGTACCCTTTGGGAATGCAGGTGCCAACTTGAGCTCCTTCCTAGTGCGCGTGAAACAGCCGGGCAACCCACCCACCCAGTTTGATCCAGAAAATACCAACACCTATTACGGGACAGAAAGCGGTATCGGCCAGACTAATACAAATGCCACAGATACCGGTGCACCAGCTCCGGGTCTCGGCAATACTGGAGCCCGGGGGGGGGACGGGGACGAAAATTTGGGGCTCCAGGGGGGTCTACTTAGTGCAGAGGGCCTGGATATGCTGTCTGGTAATATGTCCCCGGGTGAGGAGCAGAGCAAACTAGCGGCGCAAATGAGGTTCTATGAGAATAATGTGCTGATGACAGCGTTTGTAACGTGGCACAGGTATGCAAATAGAGAAAGAATGTTCATTTGCATGCACATATGTATATTTGTTTATGTACTTGTATATGTATATGAAAAACATTTGTGTAATCGAGACTTTTGCCTAGAGTTTTAATCTGTATTCTCACACACTAGCAATGCGCAAACAATAATGACTGCTCACGCATGCGTCGAAATGGTAGCCTTAAGTCTCAACGGTGATCGGTATGGCTTGTCCTTTGTCACACGCACAGTATATAGTCAATAGAAACAAGTGTATAATAGCTCGAGTGTCTAATTCTGAAGATGAGAAATACAATCTTTGCACCCCTCTGAGATTAACCGTGTCGCGAAAGCACGCCGACATGTCGCTTAGATAATTTCAGAGCACGTGCCAGTATGCCATTCACTTCTGTGCGCGTATTCTCATCTAATCGATACGCATACACACTACAACCTCTTGTACTCTTACCAGGAGTTTGCTAGATCCGACCAACCATCCCAGAAACATCTCTTAATGTGCATATATATGCCTGTTTCATACCATGGTCGTACACACTACAGATTGTTTCCTTCTGCCTCTGTCAGGAGTCTGCTAGATCTGACCAATGATTTCGAAACCATTCGTTGTCTGCACAGGATCCTCACTGTGTCGTTGAATAAATGCTCATACACGCCTTTCAACGGCTTTAAATCAGGAAACCGATATTTTTTATTCGCACACGCTTTCATCGAAAATATACTCTCAAACTTCAACTGCACTTGACTTCTAATAGGAGCCTGTGAGGTCTGACCAATTAACCTGAAGGAATATTTCTTAGCGTGCACATATTTACCTTTCCCGTATCTTTCACAATACTCATGCACACTTTAACTGCCCTGTTTTTTTCCAGGAGCCTGCGAGGTCTGACCAACGATCTCGAAGAAACTCAAGCGGTAGTCGAACGCGTGCTGACGCCACGAGCGTTCTGTTTGCTGGCCAATAGTGACTCGTTTAAAGACGGGCGCGGGGGAAGTGCGGTACAAGATGTGGAGGACCACGTTGTGACGCGTATAATGCTGATCAGTATCTCCGCCGCACACACGAAGAACACGCCCGCGGCGGTACAGAGCTGCATATGGACGGCCAGGCAGATCATGGAGGCGACCCTGCTGGTGGATAGTAAGTACAGCTGTGTATGGGTACAATTGGGTGTATTGATATATGCCTAGACACATTCGGTTGCATGTGCATGAATGGGTATATTCATACATATATAAACACTTTTGGTGAAATTTTATCGTCGGTTCCACTGGTTTTGTTAGAAAGGACATGTGTGCGTTAGCGTATGTTCTCTGAGCGGTGTCAGCGTAGATGTGTTTCATTGATCCCTGGTTGTCTCAATACACATGTGTGTCCACAGCACTTACTTGTGGATAATTTCCTTCTCGCATATTGTCTGGGGAACGGGACGTACGCATGCCATGATTTATGTACATTTTTGTTGTACTCATGGAGGTACGATCGGCTTTTATTTGCCTCTGTCGCCTAATCGGTTGGCCTGCTTTCCCATTTCACGGGCACTTTCGTAGGCTTTCGTATTGCACACATGCATGAGTGGATAAAAATGGATTAATTGCATACGCGCACGGTTATCTGACTGCCCCTTTCCGTATCCACCGCACACCTCCTCATAACGTGGCTCCTATCACCCATTCTTTTATATATATAGATATATTTTATTTATATATTAAAAATGTATTATTCTATATATATAAAGATGTATATATATATATTATTATATATATATATAAAGTTGTATATATATATATTAATATTTGTATATATA